GCCCCTGGAAAGCACTCGCAACATTTATTATCCAAAAAGAATTTATTGCGAAAAACAATTGACAGGTTTTGTAAGCTGAAAAGTCTTGCAAAACCCTTATTTAATAAACTAAAGATTATTCCTCTTACCATGCATGCTATAATTTGAAATAGTGGTCTTCACAAAGAAAATTTTCATGGAAAACAAAGACATTTTACTTTAAATCTGATGTACACAATTACACCACCCTGTCAAAAGGAATAAACCTACATGTTCCCTTACCTGAAACTACACTTTATCCAAAAAAAAGTTTACCCGTATAGGAGGGCATTACACTTTACAACAATCTAGGCAATGGATATCAAAGACGAAAACACATTCATAGCATTTAAAAGTAAATTGAAAAGCTATCTCTGAATTGGGAAAGCATTCTATTGACTCGTATACCACAAATTGTAAAATTGTATTATTGTGACTCAAATTAAATATTATTATTTATTTTTTTATTATTATTATTATTTATTATTTATTATTTATTATTATTATTATTATTATTAATTATTATTATTATTTATTTATTTTATTATTATTATTATTATTATTATTATTATTATTCATTATTTATGTATTATTATTATTATTATTATTTATTATTATTATTATTATTATTATTATTATTATTATTATTTATTTATATTATTATTATTATTATTATTATTATTATTAGTTATTATTATTATTATTATTATTATTATTATTATTATTATTATTATATTATTATTATTATTATTATTATTATTATTATTATTATTATTAATTATTATTATTATATTATTATTATTATTATTATTACTTACTTATACTTCCATCTCTCTCATTATTATTATTATTATTATTATTATTATTATTATTATTATTATTATTATTATTATTACTACTACTAACTTCCAGGAATACTGCATAAATAATGGGATAGGGTGTTATGACTAACCATCAACAGCTCATAATTACAATGATGAAGTTTCTGATGCATTTGCACTTGAATCTAATGTGTCATCGAA